AGTAATGACATACGGCTAAATAACAAGGTATTGGATTTGGTTGCTATTTCACTATAAAATCCATGTGTAGGAGTAAGAAATGCAAGGACCTTTCAGGCATAATTTGAATTACAACCCAGAAGGGTGGCTGCAGGCTCAACATGTCTGCACGCTGAAGAGAAAAAATCCATAGCCTATTTTTCTGTACGTAGTTCACAGTGACAACAGGCTCCCTTACAAAAGCCTCCACGGCATTGCTCCGATGCTGAAATCACCTGCTCTTTCAATGGGAACATCTGCACCTCCCTGGTTCTGCAGTCCACTCCACCCTTCCGGAGCATCTGGTGGTAACTACGCCAATCTTTATTCATTTTAGCATGTCATAAGACTGCCCAGGAGACCTGTACACTCAGTGTATATGCTTAGCAGCAGGCTGCTGAATGCTTTGGAATTTCCTTGTGCATACGAAAGAGACTTTGTTTCCTCCGGCCAAACACAGGACAGACCTCTTAGTTTTCACCAATGGCAGAAAAAGTGAATTATTGACATTTTGTGTATTAATCTATGGCAAAGGTCTTATTCTCCACCCTTCCTAAACAGCACTACAGTTACAACTTACTTATTTAAATTTTTTAGACAAGGACTGTGAGATGCCTGGCATCTTAAAAAATATCTTAAAATCACAGGCTTATTGTCTTTTCTTTAATTAAAAAAAAAAAAAACTTCATCAAAATCATGTCTGTCTTCAGAAGTGGAGAAAAACAGTCAAAGCTAGTTTTGGTGGTTTGGCCCTTATAATTCTCCAGTAGTATCAATAATCTTAGCTTCATTACATTAACTACATAATCATCTAAAGTTGGATTTCTCAAACTGAGCTTCTGTGTTTTGTAGGCATACTTTTCTTCTACCATTTAGCAGATGAATTTTGGTGATTTGAGTTGTAAGTAACATGACTAGTGAGACAACTCAGGTATCTAGTTACTGAACGAGCAGCATTTGTGCTTGGAATTGACTGTTGGTGCAAAGCAATAGCATAATGTGGTATAAGCAGTTTATCCCACAGACAAGTCCTTTATATACTATTTCTTAGTTCCATATCACAGATTTGGGCACTATCGTGAATAGAAAATTTTGATTCTTGCTTGGTAGTTCCCACTGAAGTCAGTGAGATTTTTTTTCACTAGCTTTAATACCAAATAGAGCCCAAGTCTTCTTAATCAAAACCAATGAAAGTCAGACTTTTTTATCTAAGTAAAGGATTCAGGATTTCATACAATGCAAACTCAAAGCATATTATTTAAC